CCTCCAGAGGAACTGCTCCGTGCTAGCTTCCGCCGGGTCTGGGCGGTGCACCTTCGCCCCCTTCTCGTTGTAGATGAGGTCTTCCGGCGCCGGCGGGTCTCCACTCCCACCGGGCGCCGGCCCCCGAGGCGGGGCTTCGACCAACCAGTTGCACCGCCGGGGAAAACGGCGCCACCTCCGGCACCGGAGGCCGGGACCGGCGGGCTAGGCGCCACGCCACCAGCCGTGGCCCGCCGAGCCTCATCGGTGGTCGTCTTGCCGCCGTCGCTTTTAGCCAAGACTCTGCCGGGGATCTCCGGGGCCACCGCCAGCGGGGCTGCCTGAACATATCGCTCCACCGCCGTGGAGGACCAGCGACCCAGCAACTGTATGATCGCCGTCGGCACCCCCTTGGATGCAAGCCAGGCCGCGCCGGCTACCTGCGCCGCGTGGCCGGCGAACAGCTGCACGATCTGGCCTTCGTGGTCAACCGTGGTGAGGGCCACGCCAGCAGCCAGCAGCCAGCAGCACCCGCCGGAAGAGCAGGACGGTCTCGCCTTTGGCCCAAGTGGCGCCCGCCGCATCTGGGAACAACGGCCCACCGCGGTGCCAGAGGCCCGCCGCTCGCAGCCGGGACACATGGCGCAGTGCGGCATGTGCCGGGCACATCGGCCGGGACTGGATGCCACAGGCGCAGCGGAGCTGCCGCGCCGTGAGCTCCCTTTCACCGCCTTGCGCCGTCTTGTGCAGGGGGATCCGAAGCAGGACCCAGTCCTCGCCGGTCTCAATGTCCTCCGTACGAACCGCCCCCGCAGCATGAACCACACCGTCAGGAGGAGGGCGTCTGCCGAGTGTGCCGCCTTCCATGGGGCCCACGGCTCCGCGGCAGACGCCGGCGAGGGGTCCAGCAAAGCCTCCAGCCGCATCGCCGGGAAGATCGCCTTGAGCTTGGGGCCACGCACCACCGCCTTGGCGTACCGCCGGATGGCCCGCCGGACAAGCGGGTCCACCAGCTCGCCGCGGAAGTGCTCCTGGTAGGTCACCGCCGCATCGAAGTAGTTCTGCGCCGAGCGGTACCTACCCTTCCGCATGCTCGCCGCGACCTTCCGCACCGAGTCCAGGGAAATCGGCCACGCCGGCAGGGCCCAAGCCGCCGTGAAGTCCACCAAGTCCGGACCCTGGATGGGAAGGGTCCTTCAGACAACCGCGCCATGATAGCGCCGTCGCAAGGCCGCCTGCAGGGCTGTCCTCTTGCAGGCCCGCGCCGCACCGGGATGTCAGCCCTAACCGGCTGCGCCTGGCGCGGCTCTTCTCCAACTGTCGATGCGGGTGGCTCGCCTTGCCCGCGGGCGGCAAACATGCTCTCCGCCGGCCTGGGCGCCGGGGCTCGACTTGAGCCACGCCCCCAACCTAAGGAGCACCTCCTCCGGCACGCCGGCTAGGAGCAGCGCGCCGGTATTCTCCAAGGCGCCTCGGAGGTCGTGCACCCCCACCGCCGGCAGGAGCGGCAGGAACTCTTGAGCCTGGATGTCGACGAAGGCCCGCGCCACCTGCGCGAACCCGCCGCCGGCCGAGAGGTCAACCGCCGACATCCTTGAACCGGGGGGGGAGCTTGAGCCGCTACGACCTCAACGAACGCGCCACGACGATTAGAGTCAGAGGGGGCCGGGCCGGGTGGGCAACAGCACTGAAACTTGCGCCGACTGCACTCCACTCGCACACCGCCGGTCCGACTTTTCGCGCCAGGCTATGATCCGAGGCTCATGGGCCTCCCGACCTGCACTTACGGCACGCCGGGAAGCAATCACACGATACACACTTGCCACCGCTTGGTCAGTTCTATCTGAGATTACGTACACCCCAGCAGAACATGTCTTGAGGCACGGCCCCCCGGATCACAAACAAGCAGAAGCTCTCACAGCCAGCTGATCCTGCAGAGCACTTCAGTCGGACACCGAAACCGGGCCAGAAACTAATTAAAGCATCGTGGGCCTGCGGCCGCCGGAGAGGCCCGCGAAGGCATCGCGCCGCCGGGACCAAAAAGGAAGAAGAGAACCGGCTAAGGGCTACGCCAGGAGACCTACCATGCGGGCGATCGCCAGGAAGAGGTAGGGCTCGCCGAAGTAGCCCGCCGGCGGGTACTAGAACCGGCCGTCACGCGTGTTCCGGAAGCGCCGGCACGCATCACAAATAAAGGTGATTGAGGTGCGCCTCCAGATCCTCCGTGCCACCACGCCGTATCAAAACCGGTCTGAGGCATCTACCGCCGGGGCTTTGGCAGACGCCTTCGAAGCCGGGACAGGGCCGGCCACACCAGCCAACGCACCAGACCTCGCCGGCCAGCCGCTCAGGGATGCGACCGCCGCGAAAGTTTGGCGCCAGCGAGCGGACAATATAGTCCGCTGCGCCGGGTGCCGTTGGCACAACGGCCGTAGGTGCCCCGCCGGCGGCCCTCATCCGGTCCTCGATCTGCTCGAGGATCTCCACCGAGCCGACGATGGACGCCTGCATCGCCGCGGGGACCGGAACATCAGAGGAGGCGCCGGGCTGGTTGATGCGCCTGATGTGGTCCTGCCACTCGACGGAGCAGAGCCGGAACCGAATGTCGACCAAGCGCCGAAACACCTCATCATTTCGGCGCCGCTCTGCCTCCGTCGCGCTGCGGCCAGGACGCCGCGGAAGGTCCGGGAACCCCTCGCCAGTCACCCGGTTCACGGTGAAGGTCTCGCCGCGAATCTCCATGCGGACGAAGCCCTCGGGGATGGGCGCCGGCGTTGCCGCAGGCGGCGCAGCCTGGGACGCCTGGGAGCCCGCCGCGATCTCCGCGGCAATCTGGTTCTGCAGCGCCACCATCTCTGCCGAGTTGGGAGCCGGCACCGTGGCAACCGCAGCCGGCTTCGCCGGCGGGAACGATGTCTTCTTCGCGGGCGCCGGCTGATTAGCCGACTGGAAGGCTCCCGCCGCGGCCCAAGCCCTGTAGAACTCCGCCGACGAGGTGAAGTTCAGATCCGCCGCCTGCCTGGCGTCCGCCTCGGAGAGGAAGCCCTCGGAGCGCCAGAGAGCCACCGGAGGGCCCTTAGGCTTTGGCTTGGCCGGGATCGCCGCCACCTGCGGCTGCTGTGGCGCTGCACCTTGGCTCGCCGGCACTGCCGGTGGCTGCTTCCGTGCCGGGGGTAGCGGCCAGGGTGCCGGCTGCGCCTGCGTAGCGGCCGGCGGCTCCGGGCTTGGCTCGGGGACAGACGGCCCGGCCGAGCTCGCCGCCACTGCATCATTTGACCCGGAACTGCCGCCGGGGCCCCCATCGTTCGATCCAGACGCGCCAGCACCGCCGGGTCCATCTGTCGGCGACGCCGCCTTAGGCGGTGCCGGGTTTCCACTTCCTGCTGTCCGGCTCGCCGGTAACGACGCCTGGAGCATCAGCATCAAGGCCCGCCTGGCGCCAGGCGGGCACTGCCGGACGTAGGGGGCCAAGTCCTCCCCTTCCTCCAGCGCCGCCAGGATCACCACAAAGGCCGCCTCGATGTCTGCCGGCGAGAATGACATGGCTCGGCCGGAAGGAGATGCTACAGAGCGCCTGGTCACCGAAAAAGCGACGTCGAGCCGGGACAGCTGCCGGCACGACGAGTCGCTCATGTCCATGCGCACACACGTGTGCTACACAACAACCTGGTCCGGCATCATCGGTGCTCCGCACCTTACATTGGCCTGTGTTCAGGAAGCACAGGATACTGTAAATGCTTGTTGTCGGCTTCTGCAACCTATACAACAGTGTGGACCCTACGTGCAGATGACCCACCCGTCACCCATCGACACGATATTTCAGCGAGTGACAAACTCAAATTCCTATTGGGACTGGCACTGGAGCTGTGTGGAGATGTCCAAGGGTTCTGAGATGCTTTCAGTCCCAGGGCCAACCGGCCTACCAAATCGGCCGAACTCTGTCCGTTCTACCCCTTGGCCACTATGGTCACTAGTGACCGGCTGGAAGAAGGCGATCGCGCAGTTTCGAGCCCTTCTGTCTATTGGCACCTGGAAGCGGAGGCCCTTGGAGATGTCCTGGCACGGAGGTTCTGAGGACAGGCACTCACAGTGCTCGAAGATTTCCGCACCTTCACGGAGCGACAGAAGGCCGCCTGGAAGGGTGGAAGAGCTCCCAAGAAGAGAACCCCACTTTTGCTCCAAGCAAAGCCGAAAGCTGCGACCTGGTCGGAGCCATCTGTGAAAAGCCATCGGACAAACTCGCCGTACTGGATCTTGCCGTCGACATTGGTGTCTGCCTGCAAGGCGTGGTCGCAAAAAACGGCGTCGCGAGCTCCGCTTAGCTCTTGCACCTCGATCAGCAACTGGTCGATTCGCTCGTCTGTCCACGAGATCGGGTCCAGGGCCTCAAGTACCCGGCCGAGCTCCTGCTACAGACTCGATCATCACTCGATCATGGCTCCTGTCAGAGATCTCGCTTGGCTTCAACTCGTGTCCCCCCGCGGACAGTCCTTCCTCTCGATCACTCCATCTCCGTTCCTGTGCAAAGCCATGAAAGCTTATGCCGGGCCCCAGGTCTAGGGCCTATAGGCGTCGTCTTCTTTTCCAGGCCTGTCTAGCTGGCGGAACAGCTCGATGAGGCGGTCGGTCGTGGCCATGCAGGACGTTGGAAAAACGTGCGCGAGGCTTACCGATTAGCGATTACCAGGTTGGTCTGCACTATCGCTGGCGTACTGGCTGTGGACGGCTTCCTTTCGCGCTACTCGTGAGGGTCACTTCTGTGTGCTTGAAATCGATGTTTAGAGAAGTTGTCAGACGTATCTGAGACCTGGCCACAGCACGCAAGGGGTGAGCTCAAGCCTGCAATTTCGCTGGAAGGCGATTGACGCCAGTTTTTCGGACACGAGCCCTGCACTACACAGTCTTCGCAGAGGTATATAGCAGACGCCATGCTCAGTAGAAGTCTCTGCACCTATCCGAAGGACGTTCCTCTTCAGCACTAAGGACGAGTGTCTAGTGAGCACGGCTCTGCGGCGGTTGGCTTACAGCCGCCGCCAAGAGAGGCACTCGACTCCATCTCCCGCCGCTGGAACCGACTCGAAGGGACTTGACCACAAGCTGCAGCCTGAAGGACAGAATAAGCGAAATGATCAAAGGCTCAAAGGGCCCACAGGTGACGAAAGGAAACCAAAGCCGAGCTGCGCTTCTTCGGCGAGTCATATTGGATTCCTCAGGTATACGACCATCGAGCAAGGAAGCCAGGAGCACACAAGCCTTCACCCTGGGGGCCATTCTTCTTGCCGAAAGCTCAGTCAAGTCTCCTTGGCAATCCGCCTTCTTCTCGCAGCTTCGCTTGCAGGCATCCAAAGTGTTGGAGGTCAGCTCCTCACACGGTCCGGTTGGAGATACAAGAAACCGAAATCCCACAGCCGCGCCCGCCTGGAGGTCGGGTGACTCGGCCTCGCCCGAGTCTCTCGCTCGATTCTCTCATATTCTCTCGCACTGTCTGCACTCTCACTCCCGAAACAACTTCCCCGTTTTGCCTCTCGCACTCTGCCAATGGCCACGCCGGACAAGTGCACGTGGGGCGCGCTGCGGACGAACTCGAAAGAGATCTCACCTCCGACCGCCCCGGCAGACCGGACAGCGCGACCAACACCGAGCGTCCTGCCAGCACTGGGTAGCCGGCCAGAAGGCTTCGCCTTCGTCAAGCCTCGCAGGCGCGGAGCACGACGGCACGCACACATGCGACGCGCACATGCAAAGCTCGGTCTCAGTCGAAGCCCAGGCGCCCGTTCGAGTTGGCGCGTCGCTCTTGGACGATGTGGTCCACACGAAGTTGCCGCCATTCACCCGCAGTTTGTTCCTACCCCCGTACCTCAAATCGGTGTGACATCATGGCATAGTGAGACAGATACGCAAACGAAAATGTCAATCGAGGCACGCAGCAGCATATTGGTAGATTTTCCAAGCATATAACTTTCCAGGCTCCAAGCCAGACACCACCGCTGCGGCGGTGCCCGCCTGATTTCGAAGGAAGCCTTTTGCGTAGTACCTGCTGTGGGTCCATCCTCTCAGTGTACAGGGGTAGCCATTGCTCAGCTTGTAGACGTATGCGGCAGCCGCGTTTAAGTTGACGTTGCCACGGTCCTTTCATGCTTGAACTCAAACGATGATTCTGAAGACCCAGAACGAATCAGACCCAAACTGAGAGAGGACACAAGATCCGCCGAGAACCGGCAGCCCGAGAACTGGCAGCTCAAGAACAAGATCAAGCAGACATACAACATACCCGACGGCAGGCTTCTCAATTAGCTGATGTGTGCTGAGGGTCATTGAAGTTGTTGTCGTCGACTGAGGACAGATACTCATCGCCAGCCTTTGCCAGGGGCTACCATTGCCATGACGGCTTCGGGTTCAACTCTGCTGCGCCTCATAGACCTTGCCTAAGGCAATCCCAGATAGATGGACGTGAGCCGACCTCCTGAGAAGGGTTCCCCGGGCTGGGGCAGGGGCTAGCTCCTAGCTATTCCTAGCTGCTAGCTGCTCGCTGGTTGATCATCTGTCCTCTGAAACTCGAAAGTGATTCTTCCGTGAGCGCTGGCTCGATGGGCCCCAGTCTTGGTGGCATCGGTGCGACGTGATGCCACGGTCAGACCCATGAACCTGAGAATAAGCAGAACGACAACAGCTCGTTTGATACTACGCACCGAACACAGCACATGCTCTCCGTTCATTCAGTTCCGAGCTCACCGTTCACGGAGAGCCCATTTGAGCCGCCGAACTGTGACGCGAACTGATACACCTTCCATGAGTAAAGAGCTCCTGAAAGCAGTCAGTGGAAGCCCACTCACGCAGCACGAAGAATTCTGCAAAGCACTTGCAATACAAACACATTCTTCATCACGGCCTGGCTCCAAGCCAGAGACCACGGCTGTCGCTTTGCCGACCACGTTGCGAAGGACGCCTCTTGCCTTGGAGTAGGGTCACCGTGGTAACCCTCTCTCCACTGGACATCACCGGTCTCACTTTCAATTGTGTTTGGCGATACTGTTGCAACGAGATGCATAGTCTCGGCTGTGAGTCCAGCCCTTGAGCTCGCAGTTGTAGCCGTTGCTGAGCTTGTAGACGTAGCCTCAGCTCGGGCCACGAGCTGGGCTCGGAGCAGAGAAGAAAGTAGTCAATTCACGCGGTCGAGACCTAACAATGCCGGGCTGCCGTTGTTTCTGTCAAGATTCCGATTTGCTCGCCGCCGCATGTGAAATGAGTTCTGGGTCAGCGAGGACAGGCGCTCCGTCCGTGCCTGAAAGCTGCTCGGAGTCACACAGAGCACAGCACGCTCCACAGCACGCTCGGAGCGCCGCGGAGCCTCGTTGAGGTGTCGGATGGCCAGGCCGGAGAGGTGCACGTGCTTGGCGTTTCGCGTGAAAGCGAAGACGACTTGGCCCTTGGAGTCGGCTTTGGCCATGCCCAGCAGCGTCGGATCCTCGCTCTTCCCCTGTGTTGCCAGGCCCTGGTCCAAACCGTTCACGCGCACGGCGTTCTTGCCAGCGAAGAGCGCGGCGTACTGGTAGAGCTGCCACACCTGAGCGCAAAGCAAGGCTGCGTCCTAGAAAAGTAGTATGTACAAGTAGCATGGAGTAGCTGTGGAGGCAGGCCGCATACTGTTCTCCCGGCTGCAGTCCGGAGACGATGGCCTCACAGGTGCAGACGGAGCAAAATCTTCGCCCACGTTGACGGGACGGGACTTCTCCCACCGGGGATCCCGCGGAGCCGGACCCAGGCTTGTTTCGGAGGAAGCCCTTGGCATAGCTCCTGACACAGATTTCCAGCGCTTCGATCCAGACAACTGCAACACTCGTGTGAGTCATGGCAAGCTTTTCCGACGGGACTTGGCCATGCGACACAAAGTGGGGTGAGATAGAATTTCAACGTCCTTGTGTGAGTCCATCCTCTCAAGGTGCACGTGAAGCCATTGCTCAGCTTGTACGTGTATGTTTTTCTCATATTCAGGGTCCTGGCCGGGGTCAGTGCAGACAACAGCATGTCAAAGAGACATGAACATCCAAAAGCGAACACACGAGGCCTCTGCCCGCGATCGTTAAAGTTCTGTTCTTTCAGGGACGACAGCTTCTCGGGTCCAACGGCGCTCCAGGACCTCTCATACTCTCCGCCGCTCCGCTCTGCGCTGCACAAGTCCCCAAAGGAGCACGTTCCCGCCTGGCACGACCGTCGCCATGGACGCTGCAAGAAGCGGACTTGTAGCACCTGTATCCTGCATCTGTCCAGACGCTCCTCAGCCAAGAGCCAGTGGACATGGCATCACGTGGGCCTAGCATAGCATGCAACCAAGGGCACACGAAGGCCGTGTCCGGATCTCGCGTTTGACACCTCCTCCATGCCAACGACAGCCATGACGCATACTCGGGGGAAGCAAAGCCTGCAATCAGGCATCGTGTGTTGAGACACCCTCATGACTGTACTCACCGGCTTGTCACCGGCATTGAGTCTCACGTGACTTGCACCCGAGCCTTTGGGGCCCACGGGCGCAGACAGCTCCCAGGCACGGGAGCTGTAAATCTGACCTGTTGAAAGGCAAGAAGTCTCCGGCAACGACAGCCTTGGCTTGATCCGTCCAGCCTTTGGTGCAGTGGCCCTCCTCCTTGAAGAGCATTTTGGGCAGCAGCTGGCACTTGCTGGGGCCGTGACTCTGCCAAAGGCCGGCCTGGCATGCCGATCAAAGACGACCGAAGGCTACGAGGTCAGCGAGATAAGATTTGACACGGAGCTGTCTGCCTTCCCAAAGGAGGCAACTTGGGGGACCTGCGTTGCCGTCACAAGGCGCCGCCCGACCTCACGCAAGCCCCGCAGTCCGCGAGAAGGCGGCACCGAGCCAAGGCCCGGGCCAGTTGGCAGGCCCCCAGCTGCCAGTCAGGCAGTTTGCCTTGTGACTTCGAGTGCTTGAAGGCGTAGCCGGCGCCTGCAGAATTTGGAAAAGCTCGGAGGATCTGATAGGATCTGATAGGCTCTCCGAAGAAAAGAAGACGGACCACAGACGCCGAGGCCGCCACACCAACTGCGCTCGCTGCAGCTCTTCTCACAAAGGCGACGCGTCTCCACGGAGAGGAATTCCTCCGTGCGCCGTCTTTTGCGCTTTGAGGAGCCAAAAATTCGAAACTCTGAGGCCGGCGACGTAGGGTCCAGCTGTGTACTGCGACTCCCCGTTGCCGAAATCCGTACCCTTCGGGCCACCTGAAAAACGAACAATGACCACTCGACTCCGACCTGCCCTGCTCTATGCACTGCTTCTGCCTGGACCCCGTCGCCAGCGCTTGTTGTCTCCTCCCTGCCCTGTGTGACGGCGAGGGTAAACGAACCTACCAAAAGCAGGTCTGCAGTTGCCTACCTCTCTTGATTTTGTGGCATTTTGCAGTCGAAAAACTCCGGCAGCAGAGAGACGCACTCGGAGGCTTCGGAGCTCCCGCTGGTCGCACGCAGGGGTACACTCCATAAAGCCTCGGACACATCAATGGTGGCTGCTAAAACATATCCAGAAACGAGCTCAGGGATGAAATGAATGCCGAAACGGTTGCTTGCGGTTGCGTGGAGTCAAGGCCCAGGGCTGCCAAGGCGCGCATGTTTGACCCCGGAGCTCGAAACCAGTGCATGAGGGTCTCCGCAGACAGATCTCCTGACAGAGATCCAAGGTTCCCACGGCGGAGACCCTCACCGGCTGCCCGTGGATTCGACTGATGGCCAATCCGGACAGATGCACCTGGGCGCTGGGCGGCGCAGTCTGGCCAAGCTCTGAGCTTGCCCCCCAAAAAAAGTTGATAAAGAGCAAAAACGAATCAAAACATCAGCTGCGGCAGCTACGGCACGTGAGGCGAGATCCGCTTGAAGGCAAAGTGAATTCTGCCGTCCCCATCAGCTTGGGCCAGGCCCAGCTTCGTCGCTTCTGCCGACTTCGAGGCGGCGGCGAGCCCTTTGGAGTCACCTTTTCGCGCGTCTGATCGAGGGGAAGAACATGGGAATGAAGGTAAGGCCGCCCCTTAGGGCTGTGCTTTGGGCTGTGCTACGCACAATAAGGAGTTGTGAGCCAAGCAACCGTTCACCACGATTTCGCTATTTCCAGCAAACTGGGCTGCGTACTGGTAAATCTTGAAAGCATACTCGGCACCAGGTTCCAGTCCTGAAACTGTAGCTTTGCCGTCGCCAGGCTTGTTCCGCAAGAAGCCGTGTGCATATTTTCCTGCAACAGTGGCCCTTTGGCCCATGAAGGGCTGACTTCATTAAACTGAATTTGCCGAGCAGCTCGTGTGAGTCCAACCGGTTAAGTCGCACTTGTAGCCGTGAGCAAGCACGTAGGAGTAGACACTTTTCTCGTTCAGGCTGGAATCACCGCGGGTGTTGAAGTGATTCCTCAGCTTCTAATGGATAACAGGCAACACGTGCAAAGCACTCAGAGCACCTGAAACCCCACATGTTTACATGGTGCGGACACACCGTTTGGGGAAGAGCTTCAGCGAGGTCTCCTGCAAACATCAGCAAACCTAACCTGGAGAAGTACAGGAGCAAGCGCAGGCTGCCAACGGCTCTAGATGTCCAAGGCCAAGTCTCTCTTCCAAGGAGGTGAGATGCTCGTCCAGCGTCTCGTCGAAGCGCTTCATGGTCAGACCCGAGAGCTGCACGTGCGTCGACCTCCGACTCCGACCCTCAGAGCCCTCCCTCCATGCGCTCCATGGGGCCGAAATCTCTCCGACGTCTGCTAAGCACCGAGCGAGCGGATGAAGGAGAAGGAGATGCGGCCCTGCATGTCCTTGCTACAAAATGGCTCTCCCTTGAAGACGTGCGTTATGCGTTCATCCCTGAAGTCTTCTTTTGCGGAGCCGAGGGGCTGCCCGCGTCATGCCCAACTTGCTTGCAGCAGAGTCTGTCAACGACAGCGACGTGGTGGTGCCTTCTTTCACGCCGTTGACGGAGAGTCCGTTTGTGCCCGCACCAAAGCCTGAACTATCCAAGCAAGCATCGCTCTCTCCTAAATACGCCCCAGCGAAGATGTATCTCGCTTTAGGATAAATCGCTGTGTAGCTGGGAGGCAGATTGCAAGCACACTCCCGCACGCAACAGGACATCGACAAACGATTCAGAAACCAGCTGTGCAGCAGTGCTGCAGAATGGAAACAGAACCCGCCATCTTTGATGTCTTACATGGGGACAAGATGCTGGCGAACTGGTAGATCCTCCAGACGTAAAATCCACCGGGCTCCAGATCCTTCACCGTGGCCGTCGCAGTCCCGGTCACGGCTCGCAGAAAGCCCCGAGCATACGTTCGCGTGTGAGTCCAGCCGGTGAGCATACAAGGATAGCCCGTGCTTAAACGATATGTATAGGTCTGGTGCTGCACCAGCTGCGTATTCCCACCTGAAGCAAAGAAAAACAAGCATGGCTCGAACAAGAGTTCTGACGACATACCCGTTCTTCCGAAGGGCGATCGTTGAAGTTGTGCTCCGCCCAAGAAGTAAGTCGTTCGGCATCTGCCTGGAACACAGCCACAGGCCAAGCTACCGGTGATCAACTGCAAGCGGCAGGAACTTTGCGTTCGGAGCATTTTGGAGCCTCGAAACCAACAAGCCACCTTTGCCGTCCACTGCCGTCGTCCTGCTGGACAGGAGGTGGAAAGAATGACGGCCACTGCCGCACACGCTGCCCAAAGCTACATCGCGGCCCAACCGTAACATGCATCAAAGTGCTGGTCTGCAGCCAAAAATCTGCCACTTGGAGGTCCATGGCATCACCACCTGGACCAGGCCATGGGGTTGTGTACAGTAAGGAAACAAGCGATCCACAACTGATATGTAGGGTACATGTACAAGCTGAATGTGCTTTGCAAGTCGCGTGCTGTCGTGCTAAGAAAGCGCCGCTTGCCGCCCACACCGCCAACAATCGAGATGCGATACCAATCTCCACTGCCATGCGCGATTCTCCACCTCTGGCGACCGCTGCCATCGTCCCTGGGGGCTAGACTGACCTGTCAGCAAAAACTGAGACCATGCATGTTCGGTGCTCCGGCTCCGGTGCTCTGAAAAGCAAAAATTCTTGGGCCCTGAGAGGAGTTTTCACGGCCTTGTCACCGCTGGCGCTGACACTGAGAAACACGCGGCCCTTCGGGCCACCCTGCGATCGGATGTTGTACCAGTCTCCGCTCCCTCGAGTAATGGTCCAGCGCTGCCGGCCGCTGAAGTCGTCCTTCCAAGGGCTCGCGCGAGGCCGCGAGACCGCAGAACACACTCGCGCAGGCGTGCGCGTGCTCGTGCGTGCTCGCGCCTTCGTGGACAAGTCCATCTTGGTGCCCGCAGGCACGGTGTTGAGGAAGGCTTTCTCTGTGACGCCCCCAGACACTCGCAGGTGCACCGAGGCCTTGCAGGGAAATCTGAGCACTCCCTGCAGGCCCAGTCAGGCGCTCTTTCTGTGACAGTGAGGTTTGCTAGAATCGCTAGAAGCTTCAGGGAACCGGCCTTGCCCAGGCCCACGGCGGACCAAGTCCTAACCCCTCTGGCTCCGTTCGGCTTGCAGTCCAAGGTTTTGAAGCACCTCGGATCAGCGAAGCCGTCAGAACTCTGCGTCAAGAACTTCAAGGCCTGACAAAAGGCTCTGAAATGCAACGCAAGGCACCTGTAACCAGCATCTGTCCAAACACTGACGAAGGTGGTCTTCGGGTCTCTCGACATGCACTTGGCCCATGCAGTTTTCATCCATGCCTGTCACAAGGGGTGGGTAGGGCCCAAACACCACACACCGCCGTGCACACCAAAAGCATGCAGTGCGGCCTTGTACTGATCTGTGTGGAACTCCTTTCGACCCCACTTGCTGTCTGCCAGCTCCCAGGCTTTGGAAGAATACACGAGACCTCAAAGTGCATCGCACGAGAGGCGATAGCACATGGCATTTCTCTAAAGCCGCCCTGCCGAGGGGCCGTTGGTGCAGTGCCCGGCTCCTCTGTAGTCGAGGACCGGGATGGCACTGCAGCGGGTTCCGGAGCCAAAGCGCTTCCAGGGCCCATCCTTGGCGAAGACTTTCCAGGCCGCCACGGTGCCTCAGGGAAACAAGAAGCCCGAAGGGCCACCAATGAGGCTCAAAGGGACTCCCGCGCCCGAAGACCCACTTCACCCAGCCTGTCATTGGCGCCTCGCAGCTGCTGGACGTCAGGCACTTCGACATGCCTTTCCCGTTCTGAAGCAGCTGGTAGTAGCCTCAAGGACTCAGGAAACCACGACCTTGAAATTGTAAATGCTTCTCAAAGTCCAACTCATTCCACGGACAAAGTGCTCAACATGCACAAAGCGTGTCGTTACTCTTGCGCGTCGTACACGTGCATGAATGTCTGTGCTTACGAGCCAGGCAGACGAACAAACAGACTCAGGCACACAAACAACCATGAAGGCATATGCTTCATTCCGATCTTAGGCACATTTTGGCATACAGTAGCATGCATGTAAAAGCACAGATTTTATGAAACCAGCAGTTCTCTGCGCGAATCTGCGTGCCTACAACGCCGAGGAATGGCAATGCAGCCCACTCGACGAAGAAACCGAAGATATACCCTTTAAGCTCGAAATTTGCAGAAAGTGTTTAGGTCCAGGAGGTGTGGCTGGTACTCTGTACGTTTGCATGAAGGTGCCTCTACGTGCGTGCATGTATGCCTAACTACGCACCTACATTGCATATCTGAGTAGAGTTACATATTTATATACATATATGCATATGTGTGTGCCCTTTTGTATGTGTATGTGTATATGTATGTGTGCATATGTATGTGTATGTATCTGTTATGTTCGTGTACCTCTACATAACAAGTGTATACTCTTCATATGCAGATACACACACGTACATATATATATATAGATAGATGTGTGTGATTTACAGGCCTGGTTGCTTTTGCTATGTGGAAGTACGCGCGTAGTGCATGACGGTATGAAACGTTGTACAATACCATAGAAAACTGCTTGGAACATAAAGCTATGTCGACGTGGGACTCATAATACCTCATCAATCATGGTACATGGCGAGACATAATACACTATCGTCGACTATGACACCGTTTCCAGGCTAGCACATGCAGTTACAAGCACGTACAGTAGCCTTGCTCCATCATGGAATAAGTAGTTAGTTTATGATAAGAGGACTGCCTCATGAAAGGTCAGAAAGAAGCATCCAAGGTGCGAGGACACATGTAAAACCGGGCTGCAGTCTAGCAGCGATGGTTCTTGGCCACGGCCTGCATCTGGCATTCCTGACATGGTGGCCCGGGCAGCACACAACCATGTAGTTATTCAAGTCTGACGCAACACAATAGTCACGGGTTCTTCAACAACCGTCTCAGCTGCAAAGGGTCTGACTGGTCGGCAACCTCTGTTGTGGTCTGAGGCGTCTCTTCCATGCACTTGGTGTTTGCGCTGCCGAATTGCTCCCAAGGATCCACTCCCTGGTACACCTGCGTCAGTGCAGTCTCTTGGAACTGACTCTGCAACTGCAACTGCAAAGGGCACATGTAACTCGGCAGCCTTCCAGGTCGTTCCCGAGCTCTTCCAGGTCGTTACAAACTGACCCTGTTTCCTGACTTTAGATTTCGGCTTGATGCCATACTTTAAGGCGGCGCCGGCAGAGCAGTCGCTTGACGGCAAGGGTTGTTCGCTCGGTGGCCGATTGCTGAAGAGGATGTAGTAGTCTCCTCCATTGTCTTGCGACTCTTTGAGGGTGAGCGCGGCAAATTTCATGCCCTGCACCTGGGCATAGCACAAGCAGAAAGCGCCTGGACTTCCCGACAGGTTGCATCATGAAGCCGCGGGACTTTACGGCCGTAGATGCCCTTCCGGTTGTTCTCCCAAACCTCCTCGATGGTAGCGGCGGCTTTGCTCGGATACTTCTCGGGCCAGACGAAGCCCTGCGGAATCTTTGTACCTTCCGCACCCAAGCAAGAAGGCAGCGCAGCGCTGCTCACCAGGTACATGCCTCCAGGGACAGAAAACCACCCAATCCTTCATCAAGCACGGCTTTCTGTAGCTCCGACGGCCTGACAAGTTATCGATGATGTGCTTCCCCTTGTCCAGGAACTTCCAGTATATCCGTACCTGCGTCGTGGACAAACCCTCGAGGTATGTCCACGGCAATCGCGCAATCTGCTTCCGACTTGCAACAGAAACAACGGAGAGCAGGGACGGCTGTCCTTGCCGGCACGGCTACCAAGGTAGTACCCGACGTCCCCGGTGTTCGTCCAGCCACCCAAGGGCACGCCAGACCAGCGATCCGAGCGCAACCTCCCAGCTTCAAGCTGTCCTACTCGTTACGACGAGGCCCTCTCTCTCTTGGGCCCGAACAGGTACACCAGAGCTGGCTCGGACAAGATCAATTCGTTGGAATTGCCGGTGTTGATATCCTGCGTCCTTGGAGCACCGGAGCTGAAGCAGAGAGAAGAGAGGCATTGCACCGCCAAGTAGCCCTCGTAGAGGAAACTGCAAGTAGCTCGGGACTCGTTGATAGAAGACCTCCCAAAAAGAAGGATCGGCTGTAGCTACTCAATGCACCGGTTGCGAGGCGGGCCTGACCATTCTGCCATGGTTTCCCCCAGATCGTCCTTAGAACTGGCGGAACCACGAAGTGAAGGAGCAACTGAGGACTGTCAAGCAAGGGACTGCCACCCCTTCCTTCGAAGCGTGAAGCGATCCGACAGTGCCGGAAAAGAACACAGGTCCCACGTCGTTTCTACAGCACGTGCCAAATCCGAAGCCTACCTCCTGATCCTCACCTGTAGCAAGCATACCAAGCCCAGCTTGGATCCAGGGCACAACCGGTCCCGTGAACTCTGATGGCGCCAGGTCAAGTCCTTCCCTCGCCACCGCGATCCGCGGCCAGTCCAGCCCTGCAAGCCCGGCCGAAACTGAAAAAATGCTAGGGCAGAGAATGAGAATCGCAGAAGGATCTCGGCATATCGGCAGCGCGGCAGTGCACCCTGCTCCCGCCTCGCAGCAGGCAAGGACCTGCAGAGTCTCCGAGTCTCTCCGAGAGGATGCGAGGCTAAAAGGAGCGGAGCCGGCCTCCCGCAAGTCCGCGCGCTCGTCGTTGAAAGGCCAGGACACCGCGTCCAGCGTGTGGGCCTCCGTCAGCTTCTTGCAGGTCGGATGATGCAGCGTTGCCTCAGTCAAGGCTCCGCTGGCATGTGAGAATCTACGATGTAAGACTCCCGTAAGAGTAGATCGATGGCAGCTGGGAGCGAAACACCGACTTGCACGTAGTTGGGGGTCACCATGTCATCTTCCAGGACGGGGCACCAGGCATCCGACGTGGACTGAAGGCCTGGTCAGCACGGGCCTTCAGACGATTCAAAGACACCCACCAGGGCCCAGGGCCCGGCGGTTTTAGGGCCCGGCCTCCGACCGGCCGCTGGCCCTTCTTTTGGCAGAGCTCCGAGTACCTCAGTGCACAGCGTTACAGGACACGGACATCACAATCTCTGTTGATTTATGGAATTCTCAAACGAGGCGTCCACGTGCACAGTCGCTTTCCTTGACCTTCACACTTGTCCTGTGCGCTCATCAGATCCGAGAGCCCACAAGATGCACCGGGCCGAGACTCATGTCTCTTCGTCGAGAGTTACAAGGAAGTGGTGCAGAGAAGCAGAGAATCTTCAATCCAAACTCCAAAAGAGCCAGAAAACACTGAATGCTTCACACATTTCTCGACAACCTGCCTCCAGCTTCTGCCAGCCAAGCGCCTCCTTGTTGGTTTGCCAAACCACAGCCTGACACCAGGGATGTTGACTTCAAGCAGAGATCCACAGAATGCCCGGCCTGAGCACACTGGCGGGGTCCACCAAGCTTCACGCAAGAAGGGCTGCAGCAGTAGTCTTTCTTGTCCGCACCGCCTAGTGCCGAGCACGAGCGGGGCATGTTCGGCAACGCTTGTTTGTCCCATGGGGCCGTGGCAGGTCTGCTGGGCACACATGGTGGGCGCGTTTGCTGGACACTGGGCACGCTGACCGTGGCCTCCCTTCATGCAACTCCAGTCCTGCAGGCCGGAGCAGGCCGGAGCAGGTCGACTGGATTCAGAATTCTCGCCTTCACATAGGTCCCATCTTCGCAAAGAACTTGGGAAAGTGCTGCGAAATGGGGTGTCAGAAACTGGCATGTGCCTGCCTGGCACAGCCACCGGACCGTCACTTCTGCCTTCGGCTCTCTGCATCTCTGTCGGAGCCTGCTCCGCCCGGTTCTCCACAACGTAGACGGCACCAGTGCCGGAATTGCGAACCTGGGAAGCATTCGAAGAGTAGAATGTAGTATAGTGTAGCACGTTATTGTGTGGTACAGTACAGAAAACAGCAGAGCAGAGCAGCATAGCACAGGGTCATGTGGTCATGGTATCATTCCATACGGTATCGTATCGCATCGTAGCCCACGTAGAGTGGAGCAAAGCATGCAGAAAAATGTGACGTAGCTTAGCCTGGCTTAGCACTGTAAAGTATGGCATAGTCTAGTAAGTCTAGTATGGATTGGCATAAGGCTGTAATTACTTCTCGTGAACGACTCCAAAAGCACCAGAAACACAACACCCGTGCATCCAAGCTTCCGCTCCATATGGTTTCGTCCACAAATTCTCGCATCCCCAGGACTGCAGCGAAGAGCCCATCATGTAGCGAGACTCCAAATGCTTCTCGTTTGTTCTCCATGCTTGACCTGCAGTGCTTCACAGCGACAACATACCTTCATTCCGAAGACGATGCAGGCTGGACGTCTGTCACTTGGGACAGTGCATAAATTCTTTCCGCATTGGGAACAGGCGCGCACGTGGTGCAGTATATCCTGACGGACGATGTGCAACAAACATTTCAAGCAGCACATCAACCTGCCTTATCGAAGCAGTGGGCGGAGATGTAGCCACCGTTCTTGCCGCCTTTGTTGTCCTGATCCTCATCGCCTGGTCGCCAAGCCACAAAAGCATCGGACGAAAGTCGGTACTGAGTACCGGATTCTCGGGCGACTTAGATCCGCACTGCGGGCCAGCATGCCAAAGCATCCATTCTTGCTCCAAACCACCTGCACTAAAGACTATCCAACGTCAAAACTCCAGCTTCTAATTTTGTACTCTGCACACCACCTGCTTGCAATCCTGCTCCATTTCGCAAAGTTCCTTAGAAGTTGCATGGGAACTGTGTCCGTCTCTGCAAACTCACTTCGGACAAGTCTCGAAACAAGTCTTCCACGGAAGCTTTGCGCCATACTTGTTCTCGCCTGCAGGTAGCAGCTGGCACCAACGTCAGGCCATCACAACTGCACAATGCTGCAAGGGACTGGCATGAGGATGACTCACAAGACCATGAAGGGGCCATGAAGGAAAATACAAAAAACAATTGGTGACTTCGACTCTTTATCCAGTTTCTCTCGTCTGCAAAGCGTTCTGTCTGGAGATTCTGGAAATGTTGCACTCCGTCAAGCTCAACTATGGTCGAGCTTCACCCTCCAATGGAGCTGCTGAATCGACGAAGCGTAACGGCTGTGTCAATCGACTTGCACATGTTCTGAGGGCGCCACCCAGCGAGATCTGCACCTCAGCTCTAATAATTCAACACGAGGCATACGGCTCGACTACGGACAAACCTACTTCTACTACTAATGATCCTGATTGCAACACGAGATGCATGTTTTCCCGGCCATGTCATTCTCCACTTTGGGAAAACAGTGCACCTTCGCTCCTGCGCCAGCCATGCTCGTCTCACTTCGAAGAGCATGCTTGCAACAACAGATGTCACTCTCCTTCTTGATGTAGCACATTGCATCCTTCCACTGTTTCCCTGCGTGTGACAGAGCTGACTCGTGTGCTGAGCACTTGTAAGCCACATGACATCGTTCTTGCGGCACCTGCGCTGCCTTTTGCCAGAGGCTGATTGATGAAGAGGAAGCAATTCCTCCGGTTCCAGCCATTGGCATACCTGGTCAAAGGGAGGTTCGCCAGGCTCAAGCCGGTCATGAGCAGCTGAGCCCCCCACCACTCGAAGCCTACGCAACCAGCCGTCAGGTCACCTGCACGGAAAAGCGATGACATACCCTTGGCAAGGCTTTGTCGCGCAACGCATTACCAGAAACGTAACTCTTCGTTCTGCAAGGCACATGCGGCTTCGCAGCCCACGACGTTCTTGGTCACGCGTCCTTTGTCCTGGAACAGCCCGGGCATCCGACAATCCGGCACACCCCACCGCCTATGCCAGGCTCCTGTGGTGCATCCTTGCCGTTCTCAAGGACACAGAAGTTCTGAAAGCTTCTGTAGTTGGCCTCGCACATCCACACCAGACCAAACAAATTGCAGAAAACATCGGAACTCAACGGCCTGCCTTTGCCGGATGAATTCCTCCGCTCCTCGGCTCACGAGTAATTTCATGGCCATGAGACTAATTAGCCCCGTGAGCAGCTTCGAAGCTGAGACGCTGAATGGCCACACGCACGGCTCGAGCCTGGAGAATGCCAAAGCCTGACGTCAGCCCGTTTCGGTCAAGGGGACATTCCACAACTTGCGTTGTCGCAAGCTCAGTCCCAGGCCATACTTTGTGCCTCCTGCGCAGAATAGCCTTGCACTGTCGCAGTGCACTTTGTACGAGCCGTATCCAACCCGCAATGGCTGCCCATCGAAGAGCCATTCCTCAGACAAGAAGGGGATGTTGGCACAGCAGATGCAAAAAGCCTGACCGTAAATGGATGTCAAGAGGCATTGCTTTTGAAGGTGATCTTGACAACGTCTCGTCCCCGTATTCCTGCACATCTCAGAAACCAACTCCAAGAAATCGCCATCTGATCTCGAAAAACGGCACTGGCGATATACGGAACAAACTAGCGGTGAAGACTGGAAGGGTAAATGGTGCATGTCTGCTTGGGCAATGCTTCAAGTTAATGGGAGGAAGACAGAACCCACGAAGGCGATGCGGCTTAATGTGGGATGTGTAAAAGCTGAAAAGCGTCATGCCCATCATGAGTGTCTAGGTACCAGAGCTTGTTCCTCACGTTTCTCGCACCTTGCACGTGTATCCCCTGGTCATGAGTCATGATAGATAACTCTGTGCTCTCGCGCATTCATCCTGCATGCGAGCAGTTTCCAAGATGCCTGCACGCTTCATCAGCGGGCACCAGTACTTGCCCAACTTGCAAGGCACCTGCGGACAGCGAAACCGTGAGAAATTGAAACTGTACTCCGACGTCAGAATGGCCGAGTCGCCATGTCCGGATGCACGCCCCCGTTCCTGGGAGAGACAAAGCCAGCAGCACACATCAGCCTCTGCCGCTCCAGTGCTTCCAAGTCTCGCGATGGCTTCTTTCAGTGCTCTCGCCTGCTGCAACCCAGTGCCTCAGTGGATCTCAGTGGGCTCTTTAGAAGCCGCTGCCACTGCATGCGCTCCATGCCACCGGAGGCTTGGGTCCAGGCCGAAGGTCTTTCCACCGGAACAGAAAAGCTTCCTGCTGTCACATCCTTTTTTGTATGATCCGTAGCCGACTCCAGTGCTGGTGTCTTTGAAGTACCATACCTCAGCAACGAGATAAGGACCCGGAAAGGCTGGGGGTTTCGTTCTCATTTATCATGCTGCCCAGGCTGCTCCGCTTTTCGCACTCAGCCTTCCCTGATCGTTGCGAACGATGCCTGCGGGCGAGCAGACGCCCGGAAGAGGCCGAGTCCCGTCGCTCCCGGCCCCGCCTGCTCTCTGCAGTTGGGCACACCAGTACTCGCTCAAGGTGCAGACCACCTCCAGCCGTCCCGTCGCCCACGTTTCGCGGCGACTAGCAAACACGAAACAGCGAAGGCTCTCATTCAAGCCTTGGCCGGATGAACGCCCCCGTTCCTCAGAGCAAGCGACTTTAAGGCCGTGCTGTAGATTCGGTGATGTCGTACTCGGATACATGCAGACAAAGGTCTGAATGGCTTTCTTCACTTCGCGAGCCTGCTGTATTGCCATTCCTTGCAGGTTGCGTCATGATTTATGGCACACAGTAACAAAAGGGAACCCCCGAAACAGTCTAAGGCCATGTCCATACTTTCTTCCACCGGCACACAAGAACTTGCGTGGGCATTTCTCCTTGTAAGACCCGAAGCCGACTTTGGTGCCTTTGCCTTTGAAGTACCACTCCTCGGTATACCGACGAAACCCGTGCGTTTCGCGCACGTTTCGCTTGAGCCTCATCCACTGCGGCCCAAGGGCGCCATCTTTCGTGCGAATGGATCCACGGTCCTTCTTTGGGATTCCTCGCGCCATCTTGCTCAAAATACGACTCTGATGCAGGAATATCTTGTATTGCCATTTCACGGTTCTGTCCGAAGCTGCCTGCAGCCGCCAGGATTTTGCACCAGAATTTGCCAAGTGAGCAATCCGCCTGCAACGGCATGGGCAAGAAACAGAGGCAACAGCGAAACGCTCCGGCTACTTTGCTTCAATAACCTTTGCCTTCTCGGGATGCACGCCGTGATTCCTTGGTTTTATGTGGAACTGCAGCTCCATACGCACTACACGCAACTTCAGTGAGCATCCAAGTCTCTGAATGGCCGCTTTGACCGCCTGGGCCTGCTTAAGCCCAGAACCTTGGGCTTGCAGCAGGGAGCCTACCTTGGGACCTTGAGCTGCTTTTCGAAGGGCCGAGGGCGCCACCATACTTAGTCTGCCCAGCGCAGAAGTAGAGCTTTTGATTGCAATCCTTGTCGGAGTCTCCTTTTCCAACTTTCGTCCCTTCCGCGTTGTAGAGCCATTCCTTGCCACGAGCTCCCAGGGCAGTTGCTACAGCTTCGCGCGGACAGCCGAGCCGCGTTGCCCTTGGAGCCGATCCTGGCTTGGTCGGCCATCGCCACGCCTGGAAGAAGATTTCCGAAGAAGAAAAAAGGACCAGAGAAGCTCCGCTGCTCTGAGGCGTCAGAAAGGCCCCAGGCCCGGCCCGGGCCTGCTTTTTGGAACTGCTCACACCAGTACTTGCCGAGCAAGCACTTGGGGGTCTCCTGGCTCGTGACCCGCTTCGGCTGGCTCTTTCGCCGGGCCGCCACTTTGAGCCTCCGTTGCCGAAACGAGGCTCACAACCCTTCACATCGCAGCGGTGTGGACTTCGTTGCGTCTGGAGCACTTCGCGCTGTGAAAAGGCGAGTCTGGTTCGGCCTGGCCGCGGGGGCGCGTGGGCTGCCCGAAGGACGAAAGCGGCACCAAAGGCACAAGGCATCGGAACCTCTGGTTGCGTTCGCCCTTCCTCGCGCTCACGCTCGGCCCAGCCTTGGATTCGAAGCGCCAGCCCGGAAAATCTTAAGCCCAGAGACTTCTTTCCATCCAGAAACGACCCCACCACCTCGTCTCGTCACCGATGTCTCTCAAGTCCTGGATCCAGAAGTGCCCCCAAACAGGCACCGGGGACCATCTCATTAGCTTGACAGCTGTTTTGCATGCGTGTGACGGCAGGGCTGGAGTTGAGAACATCTGCAGCTGCCGCATCTGGCCCCAGGAGTCCTTCAAATGAACATGTGTAACCGAGGCCGCAGGAGCTTTCGTATCCACACCTCCTTCTCGGGAGCTGCCAGACGAGCCTTGCGCCTCCCACATGAGACTGCAGCAACAGCCCAACAAGAACACACGAAGGCGGACACTGGTTTTATGCAGCGGCCTCTTCATCCTCCTCATCGGCGCTTGCTTGAAGACTGACTAGAGAGTCAGACTCCTCTACACCGCCGTCCTCTGAGAAGTAGCAATCCTGGTGCGAACGACCACAATCACAAGCTCCAAGAATCCCGCCAAACCCACCGAAACTATGATCCCTGTGCGCACCTCAGCCGTGGAATTGATGGGCTCTGCGTCATCGGTCTGATCTAACTGCTCTCCACCGTAATCCAAGATCTCAGCCTGATCAAGTAAAATGCCATCAAAGTGCAAAGCAATTTGCGTTATCAACAATCACATGCTTCTTATCAAACCTAGTCATTTCGTCGGGGGTGATAGAGATTTTAAACCTAAGAGCAGGGCTTGAGGCCCTGGGGCTTTGGCAGTTTCTGGACTGCCGACACCGAGATTTATGACTGTTATGACTGTTGCAAGCAAATCTTTTCTGAAACGGACCCTGATGAAGATGCAACAGCGACACGTGCAGAAGCCCTCGAAGTTCCCTCGACGATGCGTGCACGGACTCCCAAGCTCTCAGACGGAACATGCTCGCGGGGACACGGGCACCTCCGTGTAGTTCACAGGATCCGGCTCCGTGTCCGACGTGTCCCAGGAGGCCTGGACCTGCGACTGAGGGACTCTCAGGGACTGTAAAGGCTTCCAGGAATTCCAACGCCTGATCGTCCGTAGCGTGCTCATTCCTCAGCATTCAGCCCGGCGTTGGGCAATGTCTCGTGCAATCCTCCACTTGAGAGACAGAAGCCACGTACAAGCCGAGCATTCGACACATCTCTCACCGTTTGCTCAATTATGCTCACGTCTGCTTCAAGGTCGTCAGTCACCTGGAACAGGACACAACTGCGCCGTGATCTGTTCGACACCGAGGGTGCACGGAACTCTGGCCTGTGAAGACCGTTCTTGATGGCCAGTCACATCCGATTCGTTAGCGAGTAGGCTGGCAGCTGCGCCTCCGTTGCTTCGCCAAAGTGCTTCTACAGTGTATGGATCGAGACGCGACACTCACGACACAGGGACGACCGTCAAGATCGGGCTCAGGAGCCTGATTTCAGGGCCACTCCTCTGCCATCTTGTTGCACCTTGTCGTCAAGAGCATCGCATGACTTGAGTGCATGTGGCGTCTTCTGCGATCATGGCATCGTCATGACATGTCTTCTTCAAAACACTGATTGCAGCATGCTGCTATTCTGGGCGTGCCGGTGGCGTCGACAAAGGCACTGCTAAGACCTGTCGGAGCCACGAGCCACAACGCAGACCTCGCTACATCTCATCCAGCTGCAGACACCCAGTCGCCAAGCCTGGATCCAAAGCTGCCGCGCGCGTGGTTTCGCGACGGACAAACTGCGGGCGAGGATAGTCCTGCAAGGGCCGTCTCACTCTCAGCCCTTGCAACTCTCAAGACCACAGACTATGTGGCTTCGGCACTGGGCGCATGAGGCACTTCCGGGCCTTTTTGTTCCAAGCGTGGGCTGCGAGACAGAAACAGAGCAGTAGACCCAACCTTGCTCTGCGGAAAGAATACACACGGCACCGGGAACCAACACTATAAAGTCCTTCCGGCCAAGGAGCGATCTCAGGATCATGCCATTAAAGCCGCGTGGGTTCTTCAACAACAGCAGGCTCCCCCGTCAAATATGAAGCCTTAAAGGCGTCCAGCAAGGCAGGCAGCGAATGCTGAAGCAGAGCCAAACATTCTGCGTCAGCTTTTACGTTACAATATCAATAAGCGCTTTGGCTTAGGTTTTCCAGTCAGTCGACTGCGCATTGCGCATCTGAAGGGACCTGCAGTTAAAGGTAACCGGAAAAAAGACCGCAATCTAAGATCCAGCAAGCGGCTTGTCGAAATGGAGAACAGACCTTGGAACGTGCAGTGACTGGGGTGCGTGGGTTGGTAGCGACATGCTGTAAGGTCCTGGCAACACCTAGATGAGCAAGGCAATTCCTTGGACATGCAAAGGCGAAACTTCAAGCCTTCTCAGATAAATATGCTGCTGGAGAGCGAAGACAACAGCGGTCACGGCCCCTCGCGCGGCCATGGCTGCTGCATCTTGAGCCGAAGTGCCTGTTGAGGAGTCAATCTCAGAACATCCTTGAACACACACGCACATTCTACAGGGTGCTGGAGACGTGGCTGCACTCTTCTATGTCGCTCCCGATGAGGTGGCAGCCACAAAGACTTCAGCAGCTAATCGAATTCTCGACGAGCAGGCGATGACACTTCGTGGATACAGCAACTGCCCCTGCCGAAACTTCAACACCTGTTTAGAGAGAGATCTAAGATCCACGAAGGGTCTGTCCTCGCTGCCGTCTTGTAGCAAGCGCCACGAAAACCCTGAGAAAAGCATTGATAACAAAACTCGAGATCTTTGTCACTTAGATGTTTCCGTCCCAGCTTTGAGGATCCGTCGCACATCGGAAAGGCTCGACTCGACAGTTGGCAGGTTCAGCACCTCGATTTCAACCCGCTCGCTTCGAGGCCGCCTGCAGCCGCAACGGCTTGGGGTTGGGGAGTTGAGGGTTTTCGGGCTAAGTCATGAGATGATCTCTGCTTCAACTGTGAAGATGCCACGGCCAAGGTAGAGAAGGGGACGTGCCTTGGCTGCTATCCTTCGCTCGTTGGCGTCGAGGATGGCCTTGTGCAGAATGCCAGCTCCCTATACCTTCCTCCTCTTAATTCAGACTGCCGTCCTTGCGCATGACGATGCGCTTCGGCGTCACCTCCAGCTTCTCGTCGTCGAGAATGTAGCTCAAGGCCTGCAACATACAAGCCTGATTCACCCCGCGGAAACAATAATGCCTTGCACCTCCTCAAGCCGTTTCTCGATAGGCGGCGCAAAGCCAGCGGCAGACTGATATCCATCGTGTTTCCTCACAGCTGTCCGGTTGTGCTGCCTCAAGATCGAAGACTTCGGAAAATGTCCTGGAAATGTTGGTGTCGATGTCACTCATGGCGTTGTTCTCGCCAAAGATCATTCCTCACGGGTCAAAGAGGGTCAAGTAAATCCAATCTTGCAAGATTACGAGACTGAACAAGACCAGCAGCCGGCCTGGGTACACCTCCATGCCTTCGCTGATGAACAGCTTGCCCATGCGCGCTGCCTGCTTCTCCACGGATCTGCAAACTTCTCGAGCGGGTCGCTGCCGGAGCGATGGGCCTTGCCCAGGTCCACGGCCGTGGAAATGCCGGCGGTGTTGGCAATCAGCACACCGTTCCTAGCGCGAAACAGGGAGACTTACGGCCACATATTTCATGGGGACAGCGAAGGCCCTCAAGGAAGAGCACAGAAGCACAGAAGTGGGTGCAGAATATCGTCCGTCCTGTCACGAGGAGCTGGCGGGCCCTGGGGCCGCATCTCCTGTCTGCTAGGCCAAGCTCTGAGCTCCCCTCTTAACCTGTGAAAAGGACCTGCTAAACTGCTCCACTCTGAGCTTAAAACACCCCACACAGGGAAGGGCGACGGCAGCTCCTTGAAGTCGGAGACCACGGTGCCGGTGCCCCCGGTAACTTCTTTAAGCCAGCCTGTGCCACCACCGCTAAAACACTCGCGAGCAGAGGCTTCAAAATCTTCCATGTTTTTGATGTGCTTCCGAGCAACTGCGCAGGCCGAGCAATGAAGACGTTGCAGCCTGTAGGCAAGAAACGAAACGGCCATTGCAGAGGATGCAGAGGCGCACGGCATCAGTGCATCGCATCACTGGCCGCACCTCCATCTTGATTGTCTGCCTTTCTCCGACTGTGTTCATGTCAAGCACCTTGCCGCCTCGCCCAGACATGCCTCAGTTTGACAGGATCCCAAAGCCAAGGCTCGGCTGACGTGACGGCCACGCTTCTGATTCTTCGAGCTACGCTCCATCACCAGGCTTCCATGCGACATGTCCACCTGGAACGATGCTCGTGGGATGACTTACCACAAAGCACCGAATATTTGACAGTCATCGCCTCAATCTGGACATCTTCCCAGGGCTCCAGGACTGTCCCATCCTCACCTCATGATTTCTTTGCAGACACCTATCGCACCGGTGGCACGGTGAACTGGGTTCAGACCAGGTGCCTTGCTGCTTGACGACACTTGGTGGAGAAAGCGACATCTCGTAGCCTTCTCGACGCATTTCCTCGATGAGGATTCCAAGCTGCATCTCCCCACGGCCACGAATCTCGAAGTAGTCGCGATTGGGAGACTGCTGGATCTCCTGGGCTGCACGCTCTCAAAACGGTTTGCTTCATGTCCATGTCACTCAGAGTCATTCAATGGCAATCGGGCGTCAATCGCAGGATTGGTGAGTGCCTCCTTTTCCAGGCGCTCGCCCACGGCGTTTAGGGTGATGTACTTGCCATCTTTACCCGCCAAGGGCGAGTCGTTCACGGCGGCTCGAACAGCAATCACCGGGGGATCTATCGGCTGGCACTCCACCGGAGGCACTTTTGGATGGCTCACGAGGGTCTGAGTCCATCTCGGGGTGAAGCCCGTGACGCTCACGGAGACGATGTCCCCAGCCTTGGCCATCTTCACGGGCTCCCGGCTCACGCCATGAACCACCGTGATCTCCTTGGCTAAAGCCGAATATAGCACCCGTGCACACATACCTTCACCTTCACCACGCGGCACCTAGCGGCCAGCCACAGCTGCCGAGCTTCGCGCACCTTCCCGGACCCCACGACCTCCCCGTCCAAGCTTTTGCCTCAGAGACACTGGGCTGCCACACTACACTTGAGGATTTCTGAAACAGAGCTGAGATCTGCTATACATATGTAAGTACATATGCGACAACGCCGGCGCGTATGGCGGACGATGAACGTCGGCTCGTATGGCGGACGCAACAGCGACAAGCTGGGTTTAAGAGCAACGTTGTGCAGCGGTCGGGCCATGCGCTCCGTGCCTCCGTGCACGTGCAACACGTCACAAAAAAAGTCCAAACGAGAGGCAGCTGATCTTGTCGCCCTTGTGGATCTGACCACTGTGCACCTTCCCCGTGACGGTTGGCCCCAGCGCAGGAAGCCTGCCGAGGAGAGCGCGCGAAAGCAGCAGAAGCTGCGAGGAAAGAGAGACGCCCTTAAGCCGCGCCTGTCGAGCTGCGACACCAGCATTGAGAACCCCTTGCACTTCTCGTCGAGCTCCAGGATCGCCGGATCCTTGAGGCAAGGATACCCCCCTTTTTGGGCATGCTTTTGATCTTGCTTACCCCCTAAACAAAGTTCTCCCTATAGCATCAGCCCAAGCCTCAACAATTCCCGACCGCTGCAAGCGTGGCTCTGCTTGCGTGCTCTTTTTTGCGCAACATCACTCCAGGGACTAAGCCGAGCTTGCGATGCAGTCAAGGCTCAGGTGTGGCCGGCTCGGGTGGCGGCACGACATCTCGAATGGTCTCGTATAGGACCATCATGTCAGTTGGGCGATTCTCCGACCGCGCTTCTTCCAGGGATCTGGCACAAAATCCAGCTTTGCCAGATGCATACAACGTCGGATACTCCAACCTGAGCCGGCGACAGGGTTGCGCTCGAAACGACTCTCTGGAAAATCGCTGCTAGAAATGACTTTCTGCTAGATGGAGGCAGGATGCTGCTCGTCGGTCGAAGCCATGTTAGCAAAGACGTCGAAAATGTCGTTTTCAACTTCGCCGTTCTCTCGGGTCATGGGCCGATCCACCTTGTTGATGACAACCAGCGGCTTCATCTTTTGATGCCTGAGCGCCTTCTGAAGAACGAACTTCGTTTGGGTTTTCGGACCCTCTACGATGTCTACCAAAAGGACGACGCCGTCCACCATGGAGAGTACTCGCTCCACTTCTCCACCGAAGTCTGCGTGGCCGGGAGTGTCTACAATGTTGAATACATAGCCATTCCTTGGGCAGGGCTTTATGTATGCGCCAAACCACTCGTTTCGTCTGCATTTTTTGAATGGCAGGAAAACCTTTCAGAAGCATTCCAAACGCAACGCAGGAGCCACGAAATCCTCGTTGCCTTTGACAGGATGGTAATGCCTCGCTCCTGCTCCAGATCCTTGCTATCCATCATCCGCTCCGTGACTTTCAGGCCCATGCCGCTCTGCTTCATCAGCTGGTCGACCAAAGTCGTCTTTCCTCGGCTGCATAGAAAGCAGGATTGAGAAGCCAAGTGGCACATGAAACCCCAGATACCGTGACCCTTGTCCGAATTGTGCAAGCTGGGAATTAACTACATGATGTGGCAGAAACTAGCATACAATTGAACCCAATAAGACTTCAACCTTCAACAGGAGACTCAAGAAGTGGGCCTGCTGCTGTGTACAGACACGTCTCCATGATCAACGTGCGCGATGATAGCCACATTGCGGAGTTTTTCCAGAGGCACCTCCTGACCCGTAACCAATTAAAAAGCAACGACAGCGAGCAACTAGGGGACTGCTTGCTTGGTGCGCACTTCCCGAAGCCAGCCTCTGGAAGGCTTGCGGCTCCTCGCACGGCGAAGGTGGGCTTCGGGAAAGCCTGAAGCTTCCAAGTTGTTTCTCCAATGCCATGAAGAAAGAAGCCTTAAGATTCTCACGCTTTCCGTGCTGGAGGCTTGGACCCTGACCTCGCACCTCGAAGGCAAAATCGGCCTGTCCAGGCACTTTTTCAAAAGGCTCGGCCAACTGCGATGCTCTTCCTGCCTGTACAAGGATGGCCAAATGCATCGTCCAGCTGCCGCAGATACCCGATGCATGGGCCAGTGCCGCATCCCCCGAAAGCTCGCCCGGCTAAAAGCAACTGTCCCGGCTGTGCATGCAGCTTGAGTTTTCTTGAAGAGATTATTACAGTGCCTGCGCTTGCTCTCAGTATATATCTCTCCACCTTCCTCATGTCGTCTCATATGCAAGCTAAGCTGCGGGTCACATGCATCTGTGAACAGTTCCAATGGAGACATCGCAACGTGCGTTACGAGAAGTTGGATACCTTGCAATCGGGCGTGGTTTTTGTTCCTTATTTTTTTTCCGTTTTTTTTTTTATTTTTTTTTTCCGTTTCCCTTGTTTGGCTAGGGGTAGGGGTAGGGGTAGGTAGGGGTAGGGGGCGAGGGGGTAGGGGTAGGGGTGGGGGTGGGGGTAGGGATAGGGGTAGGGGTAGGGTCATAGTAGCAGTAGAAGCACTAGGGGTAGTAGTAGTAGTAGTAGTAGTAGTAGTACTAGTAGTAGTAGTAGTAGTAGTAGTAGTAGTAGTAGTAGTAGTAGTAGGTGTAGTAGTAGTAGTAGTAGTAGTAGTAGTAGTAGTAGTAGTAGTAGTAATAGTGGTAGTAGTGGTAGTGGTAGTAGTGGTAGTATTGGTAGTAGTAGTAGTAGTAGTAGTAGTCGTCGTACTAGTAGTACTACTAGAAGTAGTAGTAGTAATAGTAGTAGTAGCAGTAGTAGTATTAGTGGTAGTAGTAGTAGTAGTAGCAGCAGCAGCAGCAGTAGCAGTAGCAGTAGCAGTAGCAGCAGCAGTAGCAGTAGTAGTAGTAGTAGTAGTAGTAGTAGTAGTAGTAGTAGTAGTAGTAGTAGTAGTAGTAGTAGTAGTAGTAGTAGTACTAGTAGTATACTAGTAGTACTAGTAGTTAGTAGTAGTAGTAGTAGTAAAAGTCGTCGTCGTCGTGGTAATAATAATAGTAGTAGTAGTAGTAGTAGCAGTGGTAGTAGGTACTAGGTAGTAGGTAGTAGGTAGTAGGTGGTAGGTGGTAGGTGGTAGGAAGTAGGTAGGTAGTAGGTAGTAGTGAGGTAATAGGTAGTAGTAGTAGTAGTAGTGGTAGTAGTAGTAGTAGGTAGTAGTAGTAGTAGTAGTAGTAGTAGTAGTAGTAGTAGTAGTAGTAGTAGTAGTGGTAGTAGTAGTAGTCGTCGTCGTCGTAGTAGTAGTAGTTAGTAGTAGTAGTAGGAGTAGTAGTAGTAGTAGCAGTAGCAGTAGGTAGTAGTAGTAGTAGTAGTAGTAGTAGGTAGTAGTAGGTAGTAGTAGGTAGTAGTAGGTAGTAGTAGGTAGTAGTAGGTAGTAGTAGGTAGTAGGTAGTAGTAGTAGTAGTAGTAGTAGTAGGTAGTAGTAGGTAGTAGGCAGTAGGCAGTAGGTAGGTAGGTAGGTGGTAGGTGGTAGGTGGTAGGTGGTAGGTGGTAGGTAGGTAGTAGGTAGTAGGTAGTAGGTAGTAGGTAGTAGGCAGTAGGCAGTAGGTAGTAGGTAGTAGGTAGTAATAACAGGAGGCTGCAACGATTCCATCCTTGCTTCCTTTATTGCTTGCTTACTTCTTTGCTTGCTTGCTTGCTTGCTTGCTTGCTTGCTTGCGCGTTTGCTTGCTTGCTTGCTTGCTTGCCTGCTTGCACGCTTGCATGCTTGCTTGCTTGCTTGCTCGCTGGCTTGCTTGTTTGCTGGTTTGCTTGCTTGCTTGCTTGCTTGCTTGCTTGCTTGCCACGAGCAAAACGGAAAAAAAATAAGAAAAAAAAAACGGGGAAAAAATAAGCAAAAAATACCACCACCCGTTCTTCACAACCGGAGCCATATGCTGTGCTCCGCCCTATCGCTCAGAACAAGGTGTATGCGAGAGCGTTGTCTCCGACATCGCTCGTTTCAATCTCAATAGCCGATTATATAGCCAACACGGGGGCGGCAGCGAGCCTACAAGGCTTTCTAAGATCTTTTGTCCTCGGGACTTCTGCACACCCTCGGCGCAGCGCCAAAGCTCCGAAGCTGCTGCAGAAAGAGCCGACGAGCGTCCTGCAGCCAGGCCACTGCACAAGGGCGGTTTTTGGCTGAGTCAGCTGACTCGGACTGACACTGGCCTCTAAGGCCGCTGGCAAGGGTGTGGGGGGGCAAACCGCCGCTGCGCAGGCATCGGCTGCCATCGTGACCGTTCCAGCGTCGAGGCCTCTGAATAAGAAGCCAAAACAAACAGCAAAAGCTAATATACACTCGGCTTGGGAGGGCTCCGTCCGTAGGGGGCCTTGCACGTGGCGCGTGAGGTGGATGGCCACCTGCATGGTTGCGGCTGGACACGTAAAGTGATGCTGACCCCTTGCCTGACCTTCCAAGACCGAGCGCGTCCCGCCGCAGAGACCGCTGCACTTGCCGCTGGCAACGTGAGGCCAAGCCCTTCGCAATTGGCAAGCGAAAGCGAGTGGATGCTTAGAGATACGGCGTCCTCACTGGTCCTCGCCGCTCACCTTCGGCATACAGTCCGACTGCCCAGCGCCATTGCAGCCCCTCCGCACAGGCACTGATCGCCTCGCTCGCATCAGAGCTCTTGCAAACTGAGGAGCCCGGATGCCGCGGACGCGGAGGCTCGGCCCCCGGCTGCAGCGTAGCTGACTGCATCTGGTGAGGGGCCGTACTTCTGCAGGCCGTCCAGGATCCAGAGCGCCTATCTCCAGCCACACGAATTGCAGCAACAAAAGAAGACACGGTAACGTCGTGAGGTCTCTGCTTGCTGCCACTGGAGTCCTTTCTCACAAGCCTGAGGAGTGTCAAAGGGTAGTTTGAAGCTGTGCAGTCATGCACCGTATCGTTGCACGAGCTCGGGGCACTGATGGCTGAGTTGCAAAGGATGAGGTCTGGCCAAAACTCCTGGCACTGCAGGCAAGGTCTTGGGGCAGGTTGGCGCTGTCGCCGCACTGTCCTCACTGGACAAGCGGTGAGGCTGGTAAGGCCAACCAAGGACCTTAGCAAAAATAAGCGCGATGAGTTTGCAAAGCACAAGCAGCCATTGTCTGCAAGCACGGGACGCACAGCACGGCGAGAGCTCGCTGCCACTGAAGTCCCTTCTCAAATGCACCTCCGGCACAGAGTCCAGTTGCTGGCACATGCCAACCAAAACTTAAGTTCCAGTCCATGCCAGGCCACTGATCAGGGAGCTGAAGGTGATCAGGTCTGGTTTCAGCCTGAGCCATGCGAGTGAAGCATGCCTTGGGAGGATCCCGCCACGGTGTCTCAATCAAGCAGCGAATACTCCTTCTGCATGTCGAAGATAGACAGGGCCTGCCATCGACACACAATTCCCAGAAGAGGAGCTGGTGCTTCTGACTTCCTGCACAGGACGCTTCAGGGCCCAGCCAAATCCCAGCGGAGGCCACGCGAGCAAGCGCTGATGACAGCATTGCAGCTCGTGGTCGTGGGTGCGGCGAAACTCCTTCTGAGTTTGGAAAATCTCCGATAAAGGGAGTTCACAAACATGGAAGTAGAGGATGGCCTCAGAGCCACGAAGATTTGAAGAGCCTGGACCACCAAGAAGGAACAAAGTTACTCTCATTTACCAGCACACCACGGTTTCGAGTACAGCGAGCCTGCTCCCACGCATCGGCCTTCTCACAGGCACTGATCGCGGCATTGTGTGAGATCGCGTCGGGCCTCGGAGAACTGGCAAGGCTTCCGCGCGGATGGTGACAAAGGTGAACTTCGCCGAGGAGCAGGATCTCCAGACGCGGCAAATGCCGCAGAAGCCAGATGCCCAGCTGCCACGGACCACTGGCAAGTGAACTCAACATGTATAGAATCTTGACTCTTGACTTAGTCACAAAACTTGACTTCACATGCTTCTTCCTTTCAAGCTATACCTCAGATTCTTGCCCGCCTGCAGCCCTCGTTGCCGCATGCCTCCGATCACGAGCATGCCTCTAGCTACAGCAAACAGTGTCCGCACTCAGATCAGCTTTACAGCAATCGCAAACACGATCATGAGACCATAAAACCTAAAAACCCCACTTCCGTGGCCACTAAACCCTACACGTTCTTTCGGCTTTCCGAGTCGGCTCTCTGAATCTAGCGGATGGGTTTCCCAACCACCCGCTCGCTTGTCTGAGTTTGATGATTGATGTTCTGGACCTCGTGAAAGTTTACTCTCAGCTTGGTACAAGAGCACCCGAGATCCAACCCAGGTCTGCCAAGCCTTCTCACATGCAGAGCTCATGGCATTGAAGAAGATCAGGCTGGGCAAAATGCCTTGCCTGCAACATCAGAACGGAGCCTCGAAATGCCCTCTGAAATGGCTAGCTCGCCTCTGCATGTCGACCATCAAACCCAAAGCAGCTGACCAGTTCCCAGCTGACTTCTCACAGGCAGATGCCTGGCAGATGCAGGGAATGCATGGATTTCCGCAACTTCGCATAATCCTGCAGAGGCGCCGCTGCTCCAAAACCGTAGGCATTTGGTTCAAGGCTACCTCAACCGCAATGCAGTTTTCACGTGTCAGGAAGCCTGGGTGCAAGCCATTTCTGCCCTCCGAGCCTCGTCGCAAAGCCTTGCGAAATGCATCGAGAGACATGTCGTGTGGCATTGCGTCGAGCGCGTCAGCACGGAGCCACAGATCTCAATCCGGAGGGCACGGAGTTCACCATATTCTAGTAGCCTTGTAATTATAGCACCCTCATAGCAAAACCTACTAAAGTAACATAGTAACATAGTACCTCGCGTAGTACCCTGATAGCAACCATTGTGGGACTCCGAGGCTGAGGTTCTGGCATTGACTGCTTGCAGCGCCTCTTGCCAACTGTTGCCCTTCTCGCCTTGTTGGAGAAACTAGCTGACAGCATGCCTGAGCATGGACTACATCTACAGCGGAAGTCGGAAGCATCGTCTTCGAAAACAACCGTCGTGTCTATTGGATGAAAAACTAACGAGAATCTCATCGAAGCTGTCGGAAAGACAAACAGTGGTGCTGTCATTTTGTGCTCATGGAGTTGCTCTCAATGTAAGATTCCAACAGGCGGTCACAATGGCAGAGCCACTAACCACACTTGGCCTCATTGCAGTTACCACAGATGTTGCAGATACCAGCAAAACACCCACAATCTCTGATCAAGGTGCACGGCTCAATGCCTTTGCTGAAGATCACATCGGCTACTTGCAGAGCCAATGGCCACGCAGAAACCCTGCCGAAAAGCATGTGTCACCAGGCACGCTTTAGATTCTTTAGATTCAGACCGCAACAACACACCACACCTTGTGCAAGACGAAATTGCCACACCATATGTGACAACATTCGGCCTTGCTGTCTTGGCAAGAATCTTCCCAAGGTTCTTTACTCATGAGGCATAATTCTCCAGAGCAAACATCTGAGCGGCGAGCTCCAAACCTGAGCAACAGGGGCCGATCTCTCGGTGATTCACGTAGCACCTGCTCGGTGGCCTTCTGCAACTACCTGACCGAGGCCCAAGAATGCAAACCATGAGCATTTAGACAATGCAACTCAGCAGCGGACCTCTCGCAATCCTTGCAGCACCTCTTCCCACAGCGATGATTTGCCAAGACTTGCGAGGTGCTGCGTCGCCCTGAGCGAGGGCACCAGGCTTGACGAACGAGAAACATAGCCGGCTGCAACCCTTGGTCTGACAGCTCACTGGCCTCTTGATGCCAGCTTCATGTTGCGGTGCCGTCCCGGTGGACATAAAATGAGTTGCATGCTCATGTTCCAAAGCAAAACCAACAGGCACTGAACAAAACTGTCAACAAAGCATCGCACATTGCAGCTTGCCAACGTCGACAGTGTTTCGTCAGCTTGTCCAACTAAGTGCGCATTGACCTGTTCCTGAAAGTTCAGACGCACGGCTGCAATTCATGTATGAACGAGCAACATGACAGTATGCTGCGTCGTGAAACTTTTGAGCCAACAGCACATGAACAACATGTACCTCGCTTGCCCCCCGCGCCCAAGATCCTCCCACTGGCACCGTGTCATGCACTTTCATCCAGAACAGGACCCGAGCTCGACCAATCTCGACCTGCTATCCTTGCAAAAGGGCTGCTCTTTTTTCGACCCCCAAATATCTTTTTTCAGACCGCGCGCTTCGTCCATCTTGATTTCGACCCCGGCATGTCTTTTTTCCGACCTCCATCTTTTTTTCAGCCCCGGGACGAGGTCTAGAAACAGATTACGATCTTTTTTTTTCGACCTCCACTCTACAATTTAAGCCGTCTTTTTCTCGGCCCCGAAACATCTCGTAACTGACCCCGCGTCTTTTTCGGACCCCGGTGGATCTTTTTCTGGGCCTCTGATGTCTTTTTTCTGACCGCTGCAAAAATAGAAGCACGTACACATGACCTATCAAACAACACAACAAAGAGCGCTACAATATGAATTTTTGCAATGCAAACTGCACAGAAACTAACTTAACCATATGATCTTCAAACCAACATCTTTTCAAACACACAAAAAGAAGAAGAAGCACGAAATCGCTTTAAGGGCCGAAAGCGAACGAAAGAAATCAAACTGTGTCATCGAGAAACTATCAAAAAAAAATTCCACCACGAAGGAAGGAGACCACACGATCGCTTTAGGGGGCAAAAGCGGAAAATAAGACTGAAACAAAAGAAATTGAAAACACACACACGACAAAGGATCTTTTTTCCACCCCCAACTTGTCTTTTCTGGCCTCTGGTTGGGGCCGAAAAGAAGATCAAAGTCTTTTTCTGGACCACGGTCGAACAAAAAAATAGATCGTGCGGTCGGCAAAAAAACATTTTGGGGTCTGGAAAACGACCAGCCGCTTGCAAACACCACAACCGCAAACAAAAGCAAAACAAAAAAAACACAACACCAAGAAGGCCTGCTGCTGACTATGGGTTAGGGTTTAGGGTCTAGGGCTTAGGGTTTCGGATTGCCAAGATGGCTAGTCGACCACGCCACCCAAAACCTTTAGTCGGCTCTTAACCTACTCCTTGACTTGTGCAGGCGCCTGAGGCTACTGGTGCCAGCATGAGCGAATTCGATAATCCAACGGCCTCAGGAGGTACCTTGACAAGGGACATTTGAGGATTGACGCATGTATCTTCAAGCAGGGTCAAGGGGGGACCGCGCCGTGGTCGTGACGAGGAAGTGACCGGGCATCTGGTGAGCAGGGCCGATTCGGACGGCAAGCGCCTTTTTGTCAGTCGTTCGATTTGTTTCTGGGCTCCTGGCTTGGCCTTGCTTGGGTCCCAATTTTTTTCTAGCGCGGTGCTTAAGCCTCGCCGGAACTATAAGGCTACTGTAGGGACTTAAGGTTTACGGGTTTGGGCTTTCGGGCTTAGGGCTTAGGTTCTAGGTTCATATTCAATATGACCCCAATTTTAGGGTTCATTGGCTCCCGCCAAGGCAAGCCATTGGTGCTCTGCACAATGCTCCAGCCTCCTCAATAAGCGAGCGTGCGCACCAGCCACGGTGTGTAGCGTGGCGGATTGCATGGCGATGCCAAGGATAAGCGTCCTGCTTATTCTGCTTGGGCGGGGTGCTTACACATGATTGTGACTGCAAGCACTTATATACTTGTTGAAAAATATTTGATTAGCATGAAACTTCACAGTCACAAGAACTCTTGAGCGGGCAGCAGGCTTCAACCAATCATGGCTGCAAGCCGAAAGTTGAAAAGGCTTCCGAATTCGTTGCTAGCTTCTCACAGTCGTAATGACGATGTTTTTCGAAGCCAGCGGATGGTCTAACAAGTCTGACCTGTTTGGGTGAGCACGGGCTTTCAGATGCAACTGCACAAAATTTCTAAACACACTATGCCTGCACGTACTGCTCGGTTTGCGCGCTTCTCTCTGCAAGCACAGAGACGTAACACGTCCAACCCCGATCTGTGAAGATCCTGCTCGCCAGGCTTTCTAGCATCACCAACCTCCGCGCTACATTACAATCCTACATGTTTGCCGGCGAACACTGATCTTGCACTGACATTCTGAAAACAATTAAACTCGATATGAGTGTAAGGCACTGCTAACCCTCCGCAAGAAACGACCGACAAAGCGGAGAAGCGTTCCTCGAAACGACTCTAAGTCTTGCCCACAAGGAGGAACACTGCCTATGTACCTGCAAATTGTTTTTCGAAACAGCCTGCAGCTAGAATTCCAGTCATTGGAATGTCAACTAGGTCACCCTTTCATCGCGCAACTAAATAAGAATCACATGACAAAGCATCAAAAATGCATGCAACCGCCTGGCATCTGTGAAACGGCCTCCAAATCCCCTAGTCGGGGATCTTATTTGGCAGGCTCCTCTATCCATACATCTACCTGGGGATCTTATTCTGGGCTTTCGGATCCAAGCAATTACCAAATCGACACAGCCAGGCCGAGAATCTGTCTGGGAATGCTTCAATCCATACAGCTAGGAGCAGGTCCTCGATCCCAGGTTCTCACGCAAACATTATGGCCCTCACGACAGCCAGGCGCTGTGCACCGCCAACGGAGCCATGATCCTGGATCGCGTCATCAGCAAAACAGCGCTGACACTGTTAGCCATTTGGCTTTGGGCGCAGGGTTCACACAGTAAGATCTTCAAAAAGGCTATTTTCGCACCCTCAGCAAGAGCCTGACAGCAGACCAGCAGGAGTCAGCGCAAGGGCACTGCGCACCAGACCGAGGCTCGCGCGGCAGCTGTACGCTTCTTGTTTTGCACCTGCGCAGAGCGAGAAGTTCAAAGCGGCAGCACAGCAGGCGCGAAGGTACTCCCAGAGCAAGCCTGTCGCGAGAGGCTCCTTTCTCCAGAGGTTGCTTCGACCTCAGAAGACGG